CCGCAGCGTGTCAGGACCACCAAGTGAATATTCTCTGTTGGTTTACGCGCGATGTTGCGCCTCGCTAGTGGCTGACCCTGAAAGAAGTTAGGCAAGCTGAAGAAATCGCGCGCTTGCGAGTGAATGTGATGTGTGGAATCGGAGTGTAACAATAAGGCAATCACCACTTTTACTATTGAAAGTCACAATAGCCAATATGCACAATCAGTCATTCCATTGTTAAACACACATCGCTGTCATCGTAACTTGCTAATTACTAGATTTCGATCGATCGCCGCTTATTTCGCGGAGCATTCGGAAAATTTTTGACATCTCCGGTCGTCGTGCAGGATCTTTCTCCCAGCACGAGTAAACTATATCAGCGACACTCTTCGGCGTATCCTGAAACAAGAATCGCTCCGGAAAGATATTACCCAGGTTTTATGGTAGCTGATGGGGGGGGGGTCACAGAGCGGCACGGAAAAGGTGGCTCCATTGCGCTCCCCGGGTTCATCATCGGAATGGCTGAAATGACGGTGGGATTGACTCCCCCCATCAAAAGAAAATTTTGGTGCGTGTAAATTTTTTTCGTAATTTGAAGAACCACATTGCCAATCAGGAGGATATACTAGTAATTTCCAATCCGGCATAGTCCAATCTGGAGATATATAGGCGCGGGTAAAAACGCTTGTAAATCAGGCAAAAAAATCGAGGAATCTCTGTCGAGGCCATCTACAACCCGATCCAAGCAACTACTATACTCTGATGCAGTGATTTATCTCTCACGGTGATGTGATGCTACCGTCGTGAAGAACAAATTCTGATTGTCTCCGCTCTACTAAAAGCAACGGTTACGTGACAACTAAAACTTTGATGGGGGTCCTGCCGCGATACTACAGAGCGCAGAGCAATAAGGGACTGCCAAGGCATCGTGAGGTACAAAAAACACGACGCAACCCAAAAGATGGGTTTTTTCGAAGGGAGGGAACACCGGAGTGGATGAGCCCCTTCGTGTGGGTGAAAAGTTGGAATAAGGGAAGGGTCAGAGTGCCAGCAAAGCCCGCATTGTTGTGGATAAGAGAGACATAGATACTAGAGTAAAGTTGGCGGCCATTAAAGGCACTGACTATTGATTTAATTATAAGTTCATGTTAAGGGTTTTTTTTTTTTGTTTATTATTTTTTTTTGTTTTTAATTATAAGTTCAGGTTGTCAGGCGGTGTACAGTACCCCCGAAGAATTGCGCGTGGGATTAATTGTGTTGTCCGTGGATGCACACAACGGGGCCCGGGTCTCTGCGGACCATTTATTTTGGGCGTAGTGAACTGCAGCCTGGCCGCGGGGTAGGTGCCCTGTCAGGGTCCGGCGGGTCGCTGCCCGGGCGACCGCCCCACCCCGGAGCCTTCTCCTCCCCGTACGCGTGCAGCGCGCGGGATTGGGGTTGAAACGTACATCAGCCGGTTATGCAAAAGCCGTATAACAGGAGCTATTAAACGCACCTCAAACTTGGGTAACTGAACCGATTACGGTGCGCCCGATTGTGTGCGTTCACGACGCGACATTTTTAACTTCACGCGCAATTTTCGGGGGTACTGTACACCGCCTGACAACCTGAACTTATAATCTTGTCTGACTATTAATTATGCGTAGACCGAAGGCAATGGGCAAGATGGCTGGGAGCGGGCAGTTACTGCCAACATCATTGGTGAAAGGTAGTCGAATGCCCTCTCGCAGTCCTTCCACCCATGACTTTAGCAGTAATCGCCCATCCCTGGCCATCGTGCCAGTCGTGACCGGCGTACAAGTCAGCGTTATCCCACTGCCTTTGAGCCCCAGGCTAAGAAGGGAGGGATCACCTAGCCCCAACTCAACGCAGCCCTCTCCCGCCGCCCTCCCGTCAGCTACGGTAGCGCTGTCACGGTTCGACAATCTAGGACTGATTTCCAGACTCTTTCGACATAATTTGCGAATGGTTCACCTTCGGCATTTCCATTCTGTAGTTCTGAACAACAATTTTAGCACGAGTTTGAAGTCTTGTTAAGCCTGGATAAGGTTCTGCGCCGTCTGCGTATATTTCCCAAACAAGGACACCTTGAAAACGTAATTTCAGACTACATTCATTCAATACTAGTGAATTTGAGAAGGTGGCGGCTCTATTTGACAGTTGAATAAAGCAATTTCATAAGCGGTGGACAACGCCATCCTGTGGCCAGATGCTCCCGAACCCCTGGGTGCGTTGATGCTCAGATGGATGCTGGGAGTCCAGCAACATTTATTCCCTTCTACATACAGCGCGCGTAGGAGCGTCAGGTAGAGTCGTTCCGAGATGCACACACTTGAGAGCGGCGCACGCCTAAGACTGGCAGCTGGTATAGGGAACGAGCTAGCGCGGAGGTTGTACATACGCAGGAACGCCTCCATCCGATGCAGCCAAAAGGTGCGTACCTAAGAAGGCTTCACTTGGCGTTCGGCTTTCTGGGCGCATATGAGGGTTCCCTCCGCCCTCCAGCCTCCGGACATGCTCTTCTGTCTAAGGCGAACCGCGCCTAGCATACACACTATGTTGCCAGGTTGCCTAGGAAGGGAGTAACTTACCGTAAGACCAGACATCTGTTTTTAGCGAGTATATTTTATCTTGAAGTGTTTCCGGAGCTAACCATTTTACCGGAACCTATAATGTCCATTATTAGGGACGAAGTAGAACCATTACATATTACGAAAAAACCTTGCCTTTTCTAAAGTGTCATCATGAACGATCACTTTATCGTCTGACATGCCGAAATCGGCTATTTTAATTTCCTGCAACATTCATATAATGAGGTTCGAGGGTTGAGGAAATACTCTCCATATCCTGAGGAGGGGGTGTGTGGTGATTCTATCGTCGGGTCGTCGCGCCGGTGGGCGGAGCGAGGCGGCGTGGCGGCCGCCGCGTACGAGTGTTTTGTTGCGTGGCGTTCAAATTGTTAAAGG